TATGCAGCCCGCAACATAAAAGATACATTATAACGTTAATGATGCATGCTATACTTTATCTGCGACAAGTATGCAAAACAACATGCACAAAATGAAGTTTTTGATATATGTATGTGTATATATATATATATGTATTTAAAACATATACTATAAAATATACAGTATATACTGTGAAGTACATACTAATTAGCAGTGTCCAACGTCTATTATTTAATACAACACAATATGCAATAGTGTTGCGAATTAGAGAATAATACAAACACACATGGCATGACTCAGTACAGAACATAACACAATACAACATGACACACAATCTTATCGTTCAATATGTTGTAGTGTTTGGAACATATCACGCTGCTAGCTACCAACTCCAGCTGCCAACTCCAGCTTGAGGTTTAGCCACAGTTTAAATTTCAAAACTTAGGCCTTGTGTTTGGCATACTCTTACACACAAGGACATTGGAACCCATACTCAATATGAAAAATGCCCATGCTGCTGCTCGAACCATGCAGAGCAGAGTACCCACAGCAGTCGCCGAGTCTTCGCACAGTCAAACGCGATGCACTCTAGACTCTAGCCTATCACCAATTGAAGTACTCGTAGCCGCAGCAAAGATGAGTTCTTGAAGGCAGGCTGTGACAATGACACCCTAAGCCCCTAACCCCACTGCATGTCTTCCCCCACTCTGCTGTATGGTACTACACTACTTCGAACTCTTACATTACACCCATTCTGTCACTTTGTCCTGGGTTTCCAACCCCACACTCTCAAGGACACACACACACACATACAAGGACACAAACACGCACTTCTGGTTGCTCTGTAGTGATATGTTAGGCCATGGGCCATGAGATCACTGCACGGTTCGAAGACTCCTGCGAGCCGCCGGGGCAGGTCCACCCCTGTTAGGGCTCCGTAAAAAATACACCATGGTTTTGCTGTCGGGCACGGGGTCATCGCGCGCATATTGACACTGAGCGTCTGCAAACTCGGAAGCTGAACCACAACCGCCGTTCCTGCACCTTAATGTAGTACTGCTTTTTGGTTACCTTAGTTTCTTCTTATAGGATCCTAACCATAAAATAGGTCATGCAATGCAAGGTAGTACATGTGAGGGCCTAAGCCCTAAACCCTAAACCCTAAACCCTAAACCCTAAACCCTAAACCCTAAACCCTAAACCCTAAACCCTAAACCCTAAGGTAAGCTGTGGGAAGCCTAAGCCTGCAAATCCCAAGCCCTGCAAGCGCAGCAAGCTGGCATCGGTACGGAGCCGTACTACAACAAGCACGGCCGGTCTTCATGAACCTGTTCTTATTATGAAGCCAGTGCTGTTCCAGCTTCAAGCTCGAAACTTAGGGTTTAGGGTTTAGGGTTTAGGGTTTAACTTTGGGGGGGGGGGTGGTTTGAAGGTGCACTGCTTTCTTGAAGCTGAGCTGACGGCTTTCCGTCTGTCGTGAGTACCTAAACCCCCAAAACTCTATAATTAAACTAATGGTCCCCTAAACCCTAAACCCTAAACATGTAAAGGGCTATTGTTTTACATACTTTTGAGGTCCAGATGTGGCTTTAGGGCTTCGGACGAGCGAAAGTCGAAGGTCAAGTGCTCCGTGCCGGGGCATGATCTGGGAGTTTCTGAAAATTAGGGTTTAGGGTGTAGGGTTTAGGGTTTAGGGTTTAGGGTTTAGGGGTTTAGGGGTTCAGGGTTTAGGGTTTCGGGTTTCGGGCTTAGGGTTTGGGGTCCTTATAACAAGGATCCTACCATTTAGGTGCTATATTAGGGTTCCCTATTTTCGGAAACCCCCATGTGGACAAATGAAGGTCTGAGTGTTCATGGGCTCGGTTTAGGGGATAGGGTTTACGATTTGTTTGGTGTGGGTTCAATGTTTGCTTTGAGAACAAGTCAAATTCCGGAGTTTCGTAAAGTAGAGTCCAGGGCCAGGGTTTAAAGAGTGAAATGTTTTCGCTGCGAAAAAAGTAGAGTAGAGTCCAGGGCTTACAGAGTGGACGGATTTCGCTGAAGATTGGGCCTCCAGGATCAGGACGTGCTCTGCCCGTTGACAAGGAGGGGATGGATTACCGGAGCTTCCGATGATGCGGGACTGAGCCCGACAAACTAACCCCCAGCAATTCAAAAACCGAAAGCCCAACCAAACACTGGTCGTGCTTGTCAGTAGCCTGAACAATCCAGATGACGTGCTGCCATCGACAGCTTCTTTCCTCGCGTCTTCCGAACTACTCAGCCCCATCAAAACCCCAAAAGCCACGGTTCCTGACCTTCACTCCTCTTTCTCCTAAGTCCGACACCAACCCAAAACCAAACTAACAACCGACAACTAAACCTAGAACTCTCGTCCTTAGGCGAGTTGTAGTGTTTGCAGGTTTGTTTTCCAAGAACGATGATCCAGAGTTGCTGAAACGGGAGAATCTTGTTGCTGGATAGACACCGATCAGGCTTTTTGCAAACCCATGGTGGAAACATGATGCGCAAAAAACAACATTGATGCTTCGAGGTTTTCTTGCAAAACACACACACACTCTCTCTCTCTCTCTGTCACACACACAAACACCGTGCATATATATATATATATACTAATATACATATACATAAACATACACACACATATACATTCTGAAACGTTTTGTTGTGGCTTCTGACGTTCAATGGGGAACAGAAGTAGTTTCGCGTGAGGCAAGGTCGGAGAGAGCAGAAGTCTAAGAGCAGCGGAAAAACGTTGTGCCATCCCAAAGGGTCTTTTGTACTTGTATAGTCGAATGTCATGTAGGTTTTCTACATTAAGTATTGCTCATAACAGTACCTAGGACCCTTCGGGCATATCTGCATACGTTCTAGAAGGCTGCATGGCAAAACAAAGCTGCCCATGCCCGTGAGTTCTTACAGAGGATGGGATGCTTTGCTTCGATTTAGGGCTCTCGAAGTTGAGGGTTCAGGGGTTTTACTGGTTTATCGAAGTTTAGGGTTTAAGGTTTAGGGCTTAGGCTTCCAATTGAGCCTAAGGTCATGATCCTGGGTGCCCACAAAGGATGTCAAATAATGACAAAGCCTACACCCCAAACCCCGCAACCTAAAACCCCAGACCGTGACCTACTACCCTAGGCCAGAAAACCGCTGACCCTTTATCAGGGTTTAGGGTTTAGGGTTATTATAAAAACCTACAAACAAAACGCTAGACAAACAATACAGCCTGAGATCCTAATCGGCAAACGACCAACCTGGGCATAGCCTTCGAAATCCTGAGGCCGCAGACGGTTTAGGGTTTAGGGTTTAGTGTTTAGGGTTTAGGGCTTAGGGTTTAGGGTTTAGGGATTAGGGTTTAGGGCTTAGGGCTTCGGACAATCCTGAACAGCCACCGCTTTGAGGCTCACGGTTCGATTTTTCGAGTTTAGAGTGTCATGTTCTGTAAACTCTAAACCCTAAACCCTAAACCCTAAACCGTCCGGGCCAAGACCCTAAACCCCCAAAACCCCGCAAGCCCTAAATCCTAAGCCCTCGAACCCGACATTTCAACACCTCAAACCTCAGCTCCTAAATGCCAGCTAAACCACAGTTTAAATTTAGGGTTTAGAGGTCTAGGGCTTCGTACCCTAAACCCTAGACCCTTACCCTAAGGCTCACTCTAAGGACTCAAAAAGATCGCGCTTCGGGGCCCAAAGACCATGCTATATAAGGCTTTTAGGGCTATTTTGAGACTTAGGGTTAGCGGTTCAACCCCAAAAGCCTAAACCAAAGGAGCTTGCGGACCCTCAATCATAAGGACCCTTAGAGGGGTAGCGGGAGCGGGGTAGGGGGCCTTAATCCCCGAAATGAGGAGCTAATAAGGTCTAATTATTTAAGGAAGTATAGTCCCCTACACCTTAAACCCCAAAACTCAATCCCCCTTACCCCCCTTTAAGGGTCCCTATGATGAAACCTTAAACCCTAAGTGGGTGATGCATCGAGCCGGAGAGCTTGAAACTGAACCTCCAGAAACCCGGCACTTGGGGCTTTGGTTTAGGGTTTAGGGTTAGTGTCTAGGGTTCAGGGTTCAGGGCTCGGGTTCAGGGTTTAGGGTTTAGGGGTTGTGGGTATTAAGGCCCCTACATTATAGACGTGAACTCCGGGTCTTGCAGGGCGGCGCAACCGGTCATCGAGTTCAAACACAACTTGTGGAATTTGGTCAGCGAGCCCGTCTAGCGGCATGATTGGCATGCTGTGCATGCAGCATGCACCATGACATCTTCGGTTTGTCAGGGCCCTGACGAAGAAGTCATGACAGGTGGAGTGACCGACTGTTGGCGGTACTTCGGCTCGTCTTGCCACACGCCCTAAACCTTCCCTACACCCCCGAAACAAATCCGAACTTCTTTGCTCAACCAAGAAGAGCACTGCCAGAAGAGTCCAATACACCAGACTTAAGGCACTTAAGTTTGTTGACAGAGAGCGCAAAGGCTTCAAAGTACCTTTTTGTGGAATACTTACCCACAGTATACTAGTGTTTTTACTTTTTGTTTATTCTTACTGTTGGTATTATGTATACATATATACATATATAAGTAATACTATATATGCGGAGGCCTTCGGTTCAAATTGAGAGAAACACTACAAGGAGGAACTCCAGGGGATGATGTTGGTGATTATCCCAGGCTTCAAAACTATCTCGTGGAGACAGAGCCGTTTTGCTCATCCACGCTTTATATTTGCAGTTTAGGGTTTAGGGTGTGTATGTATATATATATATATATATATATTTGCCATTTGCATGCTGTCAGAGGAAGTACGCAGCCTAATTAAATGCAAACCGGCATGAAAGGAGCACGGGAGCCACGGTCATGATGCCTCCGGCATCTGACGTTTTGGCCAGAACCCCCCATGCAAGCTGTGGAAACACTGAGGTCTTAACCAGCAGGGCCTTAAAAGCTGTACCCTCACGTGCCCTTCACAGCTCAAAATCAAAATATGAAAGCACTGCATCAGTGAAGCTTGCCCTCACTCCTAGCAGCACAGTCGACGGGTGCCGTGAAGCAGCTTGTCCCGAAATACTTGCGCACATCTTTTGGGGAGATATAGCCGCGTCGGCGCAGTTGAGGCGCCCTGGCTTCCTCCTCCGTGAGTGGTCTTGACATCGAAGAAACCCAAGCCGCTATTGTCAACAGGAGTCTTCGCAGCTCCACTCCGGCGAAGCCCGACAGACTACACAGTCCACCTGGGTCCCACTTGCGAAGATGAACCCCGATGACAAGGAGCATGAAGATAGTGCAGAAAGCCCAGGCACCCCAAATGTACCCGGTCAAGCCATCCTGGGAGTACGCGGCGATAATGGCCAATGCATCCATTTGCCCTGTGTCTGCGGAGCCGCCGCGAACCTGAGTGGGGTGCAGCTCTGCACTCTGCAGCCCGCCCGTAACAGACGAGCTCAGCCCATCCAGCAATGCAGCCACGTCATACACAGAAACCTTTGTGCCAGACACGGCAAGTTCCACTCCTAAGGCCTGCACACGATGTACCTTGGTTTCAAAGTGCCCTCTGTCATGCAGCTCAGGGAAAAGCTCACTCCCTTGAGCAGCGGATTGTAAGGGATAAGGCATGGCCTCCCACGCTCCCACTAACTCATGCACTGGACAATCGAGAGCATTACCGCTGACGTTGGCCTCGCCATGCAGCTCCGTAAACATTTGTCGCCCACAACCGCTCCAGCACATAAAGCCGCTGTCCACAAGATGGTCGATCGCCCTTGCCGTCACGACGCCATCCACCATGTCCTCTGTCTGATCAGCCACTAGGGGGCCAATCGCCGTTGCCGTCACTACGCCATCCACCATGTCCTCTGTCGGATCAGCCACAAGGTGATCGATCGCCGTTGCCGTCACGACGCCATCCACCATG